TGATCTTCATAGAAGATCTACATGGAAATAAAATTGACTTCCTATTCTACCAATTAAATCTATCTAAAATTTTACCCATCACAGCATTTAGTTCATCAATTATAGCTTGCAATGGGCATCAAAAGAATTGACTGGTCATAATCTGACAATATGACAATATCTTTTTTTCAGGACCAAGATGGGAATGAGATTACAACTCTAGAAAATTATTGGTAGTGAATAAATAGACTTTTTTATGTCAGAGACTAGATCTTCCTATAAAGTCTTGAATAAGTTCATTGAAAATGGCAATGCCAAAATTACCAAGCTTGAGAGAGTTTGTTGATGCAATAAAGAATGTTCACAAGTTTCATGAATTCCACGAATCTATGTTTGATGAAGATAAGAAATACTTCGTTGACACAATTGGTATTACCAATATTCACCTACTGCTTATGGAATAGTTACATTCAACTCTTGATATAACGAATTGTCTGTCCAGGCTGATTGGACCTTAGTTATAAGAAAATTCTTTATCACTATTACGAATTATTCAGGTGTCGATTTGAGTCAACTGACAGTTGACATGCGTCAGATGACTAATGCTGGCCAAACCTTCTTAAGGCATTATAAGATCAGTCTAAAATAGTCGTTAACGCACACATATATAACGTTACCAATCGGACCAATCAGAATAGTCCGTATAATCACGTGAGGGAGAGTAAAAAAAAAAATTTTATTTTTATTTTTTATTTTTCCTGTTTGCTCCACTTTCTCGTATTTTCCCCTAATATGGCGTCGATATTGCTGGCTTTCCTGGTTTCTTGTCTTTTACATCCTGCAACGTAGAATAATCCCCCTGCGTATGGAATTTTACTTTCCATTTTTAATAAAGTTTTTTATTTTTTTTTTTATTTTGTATTTTTTATTTTATTTTTTATTTTATTTTTATTTATTTTTATTTTTTTTTTTTTTCCTCTTTAGGACCGGCTTTCTTTTGGTACCAGCTTTCTTGGACTCTGAAATCGGTAAGTGTATTGTTTCTTTGGAATTTTTGGTGTGGGCTGGAATCTCAAAGAACATTCTTTTTGTTTCTTTTGTAGGACCGGCTTCTTTAGATTCTGGATTCTTGGGACCAATACCGGTAAGAAATTCTTTTCAGGTGGCTGGGTGGCTTCTTCAAGAAAGTTTACTAACGTTCTTTTTTTTCTGTTGTAGGATAGAAATTCTGAGCTTTTATTTTTGTCGTACTGTTTTAACTGATGTCTTCAAAAAATAGCAGAAACAAAATGTGGAGAGTTATCCAAAAAGAACACATAAGACCACACAAGAAACGCAACACAGAAACGAAAAAATGTGGAAAGTGAAAATGAGAGTTTTCCAAAAGAGATCACATAAAAAGCTTCGAAAAACGAAAAAATGTAGGAGTTCGAGTTATACTGCACTTAAGCGGAAGTCGGACGCATTGCCAGACAAATTCAGATCTTACAAGAACCACCAGGAATCTTAGTATCCGTCCCGGTTCCGGTTCCAGCTCACGTTCCGGTTTTGGCTTAAAAATGACCTTCCTTCTTCGGCACCTAAATTTGCAAAGAAGATATGGAAGCATTAAATGCAACCTTCGTACCGGCTTCCGAAGAGAACGAAGTCATACCTGCTGTTGACAGTAAGTACTATATGTGTTAATAATCTTCATAGCGAACATA